TCCTAGAAAGGGCAGGGTTTTTTTCTGTCCCTACATCTGTCCCTCAGCTCTACGATAGAGCCCAGCTCAATCCCTATTTGCTAAATGAGTGAATGTCAGTTAACCAAATGGGTTCATACGTGAAACAACCCCTAAAGCAGGTGCCTTGTCTCCTCTCAATCGCATGCATCCTTCACGGTCGGCTGTCCTCCCTGCATGTGTCCATCACACACCACGTGCTCTGCCCGCCCCCCCCCCAGCCCCCGTTCCCTGCAGGCTCGCTCCTGTCCTAGCAGGCACCCGCTTTCTCCAGGGCCCACCTGGAAAGCCACCACCGCTGTGATTTCTCATGGCACGTCCCTGCCCAACTTTATTCCTCAACTATGTGGCGTTAAATTGTGACTCCATCCCTGTCTTTCCCAGCAGAGTGTGGGCATCAGCAGGGGCGCTGGCGCGGTGACAGGGAGCGCAGGGCGAGTGCGGAGCAGGGAACAGGTGAGAGCAGCAACCACATGGCATCGGTTCTGAGGAACGCACGAGCTCTGCCCGGGCCGCGCCACCTAAATTCTTATCACAGAACCCGAGAGCTGAAAATTTTTGGCCAGTGAATTTTCCAGGCAAATAAAAAGTCTGATTAATTAACTCAGTTCTGTAAGTAAAAACCATGAAAGGGTACAAAACATCAGGAAGACCAACATTTTTTTAATAATGAAATAATTTATTTGTTAACGGTGGAACAGTACAGAAATTTACATATACACAGCAAAGATCTCTAAAACATGTAGTAGTTCTAAAAATGCATATGCTAACTGCAGTAAAAAGCACCATTCTCTAGATCTTGACACAGGATTTACATTGGCTTCATATTTACATAAAGAAATAAACTTCTGGAAACAGAATTCCATACTCTCTCATCTGCTGCTCCCCCGTTTTAGGCTGTGTTTACCAGTAGGAAGATGGCCCCAACATTGACGGTTAACAGCAACATTCCCGGAGCACCAAGTCTAGGGACAAGGGATAAAGGCAAGTTTGGTTCTCAGATAAAAGTGAAAATGAAGCCTGACTCATCAACTCACCACTCCCCCCAGAGTAAGAAATCAAAATTAAAAATTTGGATAAACCTTAAATTGGGTGCCTTCCTAATTCTCATTTTATGATTTTGAGAGAAGACAAAGATACTCAATTTCTTCAGCCATTCAGTAGCTGACTCTAGCAGTGCAAAGCAGTTATTTCTTCTTTCAGAAGAGTATAAGAAAATCATCCATGTAACAAATATTAATGAAATCATGATAAATCACTATCACCCACATACCCTTCCCCGTCCCCAGAGAGCTTTGAAAACAAGACATCTCACAGTCACAGAGATCTGAATGAGAAAAACCACCCCATCTGAAAGGGTCTTTGGGTCATCTTCTCCCAGAAAGGATTTGAAAACTCAGTAGCCAGCTACCTAAGCATACTGCATCCAAGAGTTAGCCACAGAAAAAAAACCAACCCCAGATTGACCTGCAGGAAATAGCCTTGCAGCCGTTGACTTCCTGGGGTTCAACACACAGCGCAGGTAGAGGAGGAAGGCAAAGCAGCTTGGGGAACAAGTAAAAAAGGAAGAGAAGACAGATTCAGGAATAGATTATAAAGCACAACGAAAGTGGTATTCTTGCCCATACAGCATGGTATAAAAACCTAAATAATGTGTATGTATATACTTTTCAAAAATAAGTTTTCTCTTTAAAGGATGGGGCAGAGGCAAGAAGAAAAAAGCCCATAACACCGATTTGTGACCCCCCCAAGACCCCGCTAGACGGTTACTTTGAGCATCACCATCCTACCTAGTTGACACTTTTTTCCTCCCCCCCGCCCCCACACCCCAGGATCTGCTCTTGGCCACTTCAGGGATGGATCAGAGAGGCCCACAGGAAACCCAAGTGAGGACCCTTTGTTTCTTTTGGGGGAAAAAAAGAAGGAAAACGCTTTCCTTAGAAGAAATCTGCTCACGGGCCGAATGCCAGGTCAGGGCCCTACGTAGTGCTCACTGAACCGACCCTGAAATTGAGTCTGGGGTAGACTGGGAGAGGAATTTAGGTCCTGCTCAAAAAAGTGATTCAAAAAGCATCACAAACTAGCATTAGGTCTGTGACTAGACAAAGGAGTCAGTGGTCACTAGCAGCACCTTGAAGAATTCAAGATCTTTGCTCAGCAGCAGAAACCCACACACAACCCCCTGGGTGCTTCGCCTGCCGTTCTAAGCCAACAGGCGGGGAAAGGTAGGCTTTCTGGGCTGTTCACAGAAGCCCCCAGATGTATTTTCTCACTGCATGAAATTGGACTACATACTCTTATTTTCCCATCTGCATTGCAACGGTATCGGTGAGAGTATAGATTTCGTCTTTCTTTTAAAATCAATTTTACATAAAAATATGCATGTGCCTATATTTACACACCTCTATAGTTACGTACAATTGTCAAAGTCTTAAAGGCTGGGGTTTCTATCTTTGCCCACCCCCCCCAACCCTCATAGAAAGGTTTTTCATTTTGCTTAAAAAAAAAAAACCCCAAAACAACCAAAAAGACTTTAGAGCTCTGAACAGTCACGCTGGTGGATCAGTGAATGACAGGACAGGTTGGCAAATCAGGGCTGCTGCTGAGCCGTGTGGGGAAGGGGAGGGGTAGCTGCCTCGGGCTGAGTTTGCTGGTCCTGAAGGTTACAGTTTTGGTTAGAGAGAGGCCTAGCTCGCATGCTGACTCGGTCCACCTCTTGGGCTTTGAAAGGTAAGGTCTAACCCTGGTGTCAGCTTATCACAAGTGCATTAAAAATATATCCATTTCCACATTTATATATGCAATCAAATTGAAAAGGACCAGACAAACAGTGCAAAGGTCAAATAATTACTGTTTTATATTGGGACAGTACATTTCATTTTTCAACCAAAAGACAAAAAATGCAGTTTAACTTAAACACAGAAAATAACGGCATCTCTCAGATGCCTTATTTCTAAATCGAACAAATACACAAATTCTGTTCCCTTCCCTCCCCCAATGCAAGCCCACAAGCTTTGCCCGAAGTCTTGAGTTTTCGATGCCATACGGCATCCAGCATCTTGGACTTGTGAGGCGCTTGAATGTAGCAATTAAAACGCTTGAGAGGTCTAGCGAATGGCATTCGAAAGGGACCTCAAAGTGCAGATATATCTTTTCAAACATGTTACAGGCTGAGCTGGCTCGTTGAACACTATCACTCTGCTTAAATTCAGGAAGCAGGCTTTAAAAATGCAAAAGGCATACAAGTTGTATTTCAGTGCAAATCTTCAGCTGGTCATTGGAAAAGATTCCAACAATAAAAAAAAAATCCTTTGTGTCACCTGCCCCTCCCCCCACCCACCCACAGCTGAAATGCAGGAAAAAAACAGAACAAAAACAGAAGTACAGATGACTTTGGAATCATTTAGGAATCGACTACTTCCAATTAAAAATTTTAATACAGTAGAGAATCATTAAAATGAAAGAACAAAAGTAATCTTGCTTTGTTTAGACCGCTCTTCGTGTATAGAATGAGCTTCCGCGTGGAGGGCGTTTGAACTTTGAGTCGTGTGGAAGGTGGAGGCGCCGGAGGCGTGGCGAGGCTGGGGGGCCAGAGACCGCGGGCGGCGGGGGCTCGGGGCGGCCGCCCGCCCGCCTGCCGCTGCTTCAGCCGTGGAGCCCTTAGGTTGCAGTGCGTCTGTGGATTTTAGGAATGTTCTCGTCACTGTGTGACACACACTCTGTTTCAGCGTCACAGGTTTTACAAATGGTTCAAATTCAATGAAAAAGATTTGCCAGAGGCTGAAAACCTCGACCTCAAAAATATGAATGCAAAAATATTAAGGGGAATGAACCAATTTTGTAGATACCTACATACAAAGTTTCTAGAACATCTATAAAAGCACAAAGTCATAAGAATTTGTTTTCCATTACATTAGTTTATATAAAATGAATAAATAGTATTTATAGATTTAATGTGTCTTATGTACATATACATGTGCTCTGTTTTAGCTTAAATAAAAATGCTACAAAGTGGGAGACCACTTAAGGGAGAAATCATAACCAAAAAGAAAGATCAGCCTTTTAAACTAGCAACCCAAAAGCCTCCATAAAGAAGTTTCTGGGTGTATCCAAAAATAAGGAGAGGAATTCTAATAACACTGTACCATCCCCTCCTGTTCACCTGCAACACAGAGTAGAAATGCAGACTTTTCCTTTCACTGATGATGGACGCTAGCTCAGCTAGCGCCAAAGCTCAGTTATTGCTGAAAGTTAAGTAGGAAAATAGCTTAGAATTGGACCAAATGTCACTTATTTGGGGGTGAAAAAAAAGGCATAATCACTTTGTGTTAAGTGGGAAATGGAGATCTCATTTATCTCTGAGGTAGGAAAAAAAAATGTTCCAGAGACAAGTAGCGTAACAAACTTTGAGGGAAAAACGTGCCTTGGGATAGCACTACACAGCGCGGTCCCAAGAACATCGCACACAAAGAGATTGTACCGTCTTGTTTGTTCATGCTGGAACTTGCATGAGCTGTGCGACCCCAAAGACATGTTAGCACGGTGTCCACTTTCAAGTGAGAAATACTGCTCCCATCCACACGCGGGTCGGGGGAGTTAGCACGGAGGGGGGTGTATGTGTGTGTGTGAAGGGTGTGTTTTCTGGAGGTATTCCTGACTCCTCACGGGGGGGGGGTGAGGTCCACGGTGAAGTGCTCTTAAATGCCGCTTCCAAAGCTTACTTTGGAGTTCTGAGATCAGGATCTCAACTTTTAAAAAGTTTGTTTCCTTCAGTTTGCTAAGCACAAGACACATTCGGACATTTCTGCTATAGGTGAGTAACACAGCCAGAAAACTTTAAGAAAGGTTTGCTAGACTACCCGGGGACAGTACATAAGAGGGGGAGATTGCTGAGCTGTGAAAGTTGCTTATTCGGCCTAAGAATTCTTGGGTGCTTCAAATTGATTGGAATGTACAGTCTGGCAGACGGATTTTTATGGAAAGAGAAGCTAGTGGATGCAGTCAAACCCACAATCCTAAGCACTTCCTGGAAAACGTTTACAGGGCTGATTCTGGTACAGGTGGTACACGGAAGCTTACGTGCAAGGGGACTGTGGCTGGGTCCGATACACTACCTAATCCGCTCGGCCGGCAGAGCCCTCCGGGAGGCAGCCACGGCGACCCCGCGCTCTTAGAGGCCCAGACACGTCTTGTGATTGTCCTGGAGCTTTATTCTCTTCATGCTGGAGCTGGAGTAGCCCTCGTCGCTGCCCAGGCTCTGCATGCTGCCCCGCTCGTCCGAGTCGCTCACGCTGCTGCTGCTCCAGTCCAGGTCGCCCGTGAGATAGTCTGTGCTTTCAACGTCCACGTCGATTTCTTCTGTGGGGAGGACAAGAGACACGGGTGAGGGCGGGCTGCGGGGCGCTCGCGCCGAACCCCCACGCCAGCCCCTGCTCCTGACCCGGGGCCTACGTGCGAAAAGGAAAGAGGGGCTCGTTACTGGAGGTCCCGTGACTCGACCTCCGCCCGGGTCTCTGTTCCTCCCCCGCGCTGCCTCTGGGGACGCACGCGCACGCACGCGCGCACACGCAGGCAGGCACGCGCACGCAGGCAGGCACGCGCGCACACGCAGGCGCGGGCGCTCACCCCTGTCGGAGTCCGAGCGCTCCGAGGAGACCGTGGAGCCGATGCTGTCCATCCGTATCCTCTCGATGCCCAGCTTCTCCAGCTGCCGCTTCAGGTGCCGCTGCTCTCGCTGGAGCTGGTCTATTTGGTGAATGGCTTTTCTGTCACAATCTTCAAGTTTCTGCAAGTCAAATTGGTAGTTGTTGGAGCCCGCAGGCCGATTTCAAAATTGCCAAGGACTCCGCATCTTGCCCCCGAGCCGCGAAATAGGCCAGTTTTCCTCAGAAGCCACTGGGTGTCACTTGCCTAGCTTCTCAGGGCGGGCCGGGGGGCCGGGGCCTCCCGCCTCGGGCTCTGCAGCACCGTCACAGGGGTGCTGGGGCTGAGCTCGGCCCCTCTAACGCCGGGGAAGAGCCAGCAGCCCCCCACCGCCCGGTCTGTGGTGACACCCTGAACCCCGCTCTCTGAACTAGAGCCCAGCATGGGCCATGCAGAAGGAGGGCTCGTCAGCTACATGGTCTAATTATATCAACATACATATATCTAATTATATATATATTATTAGCAATAGTTAATATGTTCTATATAACATTATATATATATATATCAACATATATATCTAATTATATCGAGTTATTCCAAATCTCAATCAACTTGTTTGGTAGCAGGGGACAATCAGTCTTGAAGTCCTGATTCCAAACTGTCCAACGTAAGAGCTTAAACGCCTTTCCAAAGACCACTTGTTTTTATAAATCTGTTTAACTGTGGTTATGTTGCTCTAAACAGAGGTTCTTTTTCCCTCCAGAATTGTCATGTATGCATGCCACTAACCATAATTAAAGTGACATTTGTCCAATAATGACTAAAGGTTATTACTAAACAGTGAGTTTTGGCTGTGGCTTGCAGGAGTCTGAATACCACTCCACTCCCTCACCTTTTGCTATTCAAGCTACGTGCTACATGCGGACTCCGTTCCAGACCCTCTGGGAGGTGCTGGGGGTACAAGGTGAGCATGAAGACCTCGTCCCCTCCTCCGACAATGGAGACAACCAAACAGTCACACAAACCATGGTCAGATGACAACTGTGATAAGTGCTAACTGAGAGAGATCCAATAATAACTCCATCTGTGGCAGGAAGGACATAAGCAGGTCAGGAAAGGTTTCTCTGAGCTAGTGATACCTGTGTTGAGATCTAAAGGATGACAAGAAGTTAACTAGGTGAAGAAGGGACGGGAAAGCATACCACACAGAGGGAACAGCACGTACAAAGGCCCTGTGGTAAGAGCATGACAAGTGCAAGGGGCTGAAAGGGTGTAGGGCACAAGACGCTGCTGTACAGGCAGGTGAGGGCCAGGTCACACAGCCTGGGGCAGGCCTGCTGACAGTCTGTCCTGAGCCACTGATGAATGTTAAACAGGGTGACATGTTGACTTGCGCTTTGGAAGGATTATTCTTGGGAAGCACAGAGCTTAGCTCAGAGGCGGCCAGAAGAAATACAGGGAGGCCTCTGAGGAGTTCACTGCAGTAGATGACGGTGGGTGAAATGGGAGTGAGCCTGTGAAATATTTAGGTCTTGGAAAGGACCTATATGGCTACAGAGCAAGGGCTAGCAAGGATGACCCAGAGTTTCTGGCTTAATAAATGGACAACTGGAGGGCCCTTTCACTTCTGCTACATAGGGGCGAGAAATAGTTGGGTTCTGGACATGTTGGGTTTGGCATGCCAGAGCTCATCTAAGAGGCAGGTTGGAGGATTCCCTAGAGGAAAGGACTGTCCTGGAGATACACATTTGCTGTCCCTCATAAACAGACAAACCCTTATTAGACAGGTAAAGCTAAAAAGGAATCCCAAGGATATACTTACCTTTATGTGTAATTTGGCTTTTGTCAATAAACTCAACGTAGTGTGTCTGTTCGATTCAGGCCCAAGCGGAACCAGCCCCTTTAACTTCTCCAGGCACAAGCGAAGATGGGCCCGCCTACAAAAAACAAGGTCACACGGCACTGAGAATTTCACAGTGGGCCAGAAGGCACTCTGGAAGAACAAGTTCTAAAAGAGTAGGAAGTTGCCCAGGCCCAGTAATGGCAAATGCCACCAATGACCTCTGGCCAAACAAACAGCTTTGGAAATTGGACAACTCTGGTGAAAGCCATGAAGAAGCCAAAACTGGGGTTTTCTCAAGTCTCTTTATAAAATAGGTGTTAGGGCAGGGACTAATATCTATTATTATTAGGCATATTTATCAGGTTATCACCAGGTTTCTGGGTTATGATGTGACCTGACAGAACATGCCAGGGTTTGAATCCTTTCAACCCATACTTCCTCTTTTCCCATCCATGGACCACTAGAACTAGCACACTGCTGTATATAGTATTTACACATGTGAATGACCTGCATGGTTATTCATCAAAGATCAAAACCACCCAAGTCACCAACAACAGGGAGCTGGTTAAATAAATTATCATGTGTCTATACATTGGAAAACTATGCAGCGATGAAAAGAACCAGGATGTGCTCTATTTACTACTAGGAAAGAACTCTCAGATATATTGTGAAATGAAGAAAAGCAAGATATCAAACCATGCATACAACATGCCATCTTTGGACAAAACGGAGGAAAAGTAATTATGTTTTCTTATATGGACATAAAATCTTGAACAATAAGAAACTAATAACAACTGCAAGGAGAGAGAAGTCAGGGCATAGGCAGGGACAAGGAAAGGGAGTGAATTTTTACTGAATAACATATCTTTCGGTTTTTCAACTATGTAAACTGCTATTCAAAAAGATTTTTTAAAAAATAAGGAAAAAGCACATCATCAGCATTGCTACACCACACAAGCATGCAGAACAGCTAGAGATAACCACATAAAGGCCTTGAAGGGGGTACAGAGGTACAGTGGGACTGGGCAGGAAGGGAAAAAGGCCAGAGGAAGCAGAAGCCGCAGTGAGCCACTTGAGAGAGAACCTTTAGTCACAGACTGACCGGAGTCCCACAAGTTTTGGAAATTAACACTTCATTTCTTTGTGCTTTATTCGAGAACCTAGCAGATCCCATGAATGGGAGAAACAGCCAGAATTCAGAGTTTTTGCCTCAGCCCAGCACGTCCTGAAAGCCTTCGCAGGCCATTCCAACCCACAGTGATTCCTCCACTTTCTGAGTACTTAATTAATGGTTTATACTAGTCAATGGGAAGTTCACGGTTCTGCCTGAATTGTTTGGTATTTGCTACTTAACCATTCATTCATTGCAAACTCCTCAAAAAGTTGGACTGCCACTTACTACGGTGCCCCTCCCCCCCTTAATAAATGTCTGAATGGGTTATGTCACTATTCAACTAGACAGTAAGATTCTGGAGGACACAGTCTATCTCTACTCCACCTCTGCACCTTCAACAGTGCTTAGGCTCCTGGGGTTTTAGACACATGCCCATAGCCCACACACAACCACCTGGAGCAGAGTTCCCGGGAGCCAGGAGACAACCTTAAAGCTTAATTTGCCTTCCCCTCCCCTTAAAATTTTTGACTGTATTAGCAAAAGTTGGGACTAAAAGAAGAAAACTGCTTCAGAAAGCCCTAAGAGGTCCATATGTATGATAATGACCAAGGAAGTCCACTCACACCTTTCATATCAAGACTTCAGGATGTTCCTCCAAGGCAGATCTAACAAGTGGTGCATTAGACATCCTTCTGAGCCCCCTGCCTCATCCACTTCCAAGCCTCCTTCCTTGTCTAGCTCTCGAAGGAGCTGTCCTAGACTCTCTGAGGGCCCTCCAAGCCTTGACAAACTTGAAGAATACAGCATTCGCTCTTGAGCTAGGAAAATTTAATGGTACAAAAATGCCTTACTCTTTGACAAGACTTCCACTTGCCCTGAAACCCTGTCCATGTGGAATGGTCACAAGTAAAGGCTCCCATTAGAGGTTTGCTCCTCCTACAACTACAGGAGGAAAGCTGTGTGTAAAATGTACCTGTACACCTTGGGTAATAATATTCGAGAAGAGTCATGAAAATAGATATTGGAAACACCATGAGAAAGTATAGTCGCTTATACAGTTATCCAAATTATTTCTCCCAAAGTTTATAGACAAATTGTCAAGTTAGGAAAAAAAGTTCAAAAATTAGATGTAGGCATTTTTCAGCTTGTTATCTGCAAAGACTGCATGATTCAGAACAGTGTCCTATTAGTCATTTTATGATGTGGGTTTATCTACAAATATGAGTATGTAATTTTTTAGGAAGTTTGTCTACTGTTAAAAATATAATAATAAAGTCATCTTTCCATGCATCGTCATTTCTAGTTGTACAGGGAGTCTAGCCCAGAAAGTATAATTCTCACTACCCAAATGTGGGTTCTTCCAAAGAACACTTCCAGTTGTGAAACCAGAAATAAGCCATTTGACTAATTCAAGCTAAGGATAATACATGTTTATTCAGTGTTTTTTTGGCCTGGTTCTATGAAAGTACGACCAGAGCTTTTTCTGGATTTTTGTCGAGATCCAAAGCCAACTTCTGTCTTTGGTAGTGCCTGTCTTGGCCTCCTCTAGCACCTCACTGCTCAGCCCAATGGCTGCCCTGCCCACCTGCAGACATCCCCAGGCTGGCACCTGGGCCAATCACAGGGGAGGGGTGAGGTCTATGGAGCAGGCTCAGTTCTATCATATAATAGTGAAATTCGACTCCTGAACCAGATAAACAAGCAAACAGACTCCTCTGTAAAAGCTCCCTCTGAGGCTCCTCAACCCTGACACACACACACACAGGCACACTGCACCCTGGGATCTGCAACCCCTCAGCCAGCCTTGAGAGCACCCATGAAGCACGAGATCCAGAGCAAGTAACACAAGCACCCATCTCAGCTCTTCCTCCTCCCCAGTCCTGACTATTCCCCTGCCCAGGGCTCTGGTCCTCAAGGAGGGGGATCAGTCTCCCGTTCTGAACTAGATCTAACTCCCCCTTGGGGAACCAGCAGAGGTTTTGCCACAAGTACTTAACAGGAAGCCACTCAACAGCCCAGTCTGATCCCTACTTAGACCTCCTCCCAGCCCATCTTCTTCAGCCAGTCATCCTGTTGCCAAGAGCTGCCTCCCTGCTCCCCACCCCCAGCAGAAGGGGCTTGTGCCAAGTCCTGGCTCCTTCCTGCTCCCAACTGCCTCTTCTGTTTGCACTGATCCAACTGCTTTGTACCTAGGTCATGAACTTTGACAAACTTTCTGTGCTGACTCTTCAGAAATATTGCTTTAATTATTCTGAATGGACAGATACACCTTTGGTCTATAGTAGCATAAAGAGACCAATCTTTGATCTGAACTATAATCAGTAATGCTCAGATCCAAGTGTGCCCTATAACTAGGGATAACTAAATTAGATACAAACTATAGTTTTTCTTCAGTAAGGTTTTGAAAAGGATCTCAAATTTTACTTTTGTTTTTAGTTCTTTTATTTTTTTAAAAAAGATTTATTTATTTATTTGAGAGAGAGAATGAGAGAGAGAGTACATGAGAGGGGGGAGGGTCAGAGGGAGAAGCAGGCTCCTTTGCTGAGCAGGGAGCCTGATGTGGGACTCGATCCCGGGACTCCGGGATCATGACCTGAGCCGAAGGCAGTTGCTTAACCAACTGAGCCAACCAGGCACCCTGTTTTTAGTTCTTTTAATAGTCTGAATCTGTCTGTCACCATACAACCAAATGTTAGCATGGTATGTAAGAGCAAAGGTTTGGGACCCTGGCTTTGCCACTTACTTCCTGTGTGACCTTGAGCCCATCACTTAACTCCACGTGGCATCAGCTTTCTCAGCAGCAGACAGGAACACCACGCCCGACAGGGCCGGTGTATTAACTGGGACAAGGAATGGAAGCCCCTGGCCAGGATCTGACAGGAGTGCGCTCTTACACAGCAGCTGTTGTTCCTTCAATTCTAGTTTCTTCTGTGACCGATAATTACTGGGAACAATTTGTATAGCACTATAATATTCCTTTGAAAATCAACAGGAAACTCGGGGCGCCCGGGTGGCTCAGTCATTAAGCATCTGCCTTTGGCTCAGGTCATGATCCCAGGGTCCTGGGATGAGCCCCACATCTGCTCCACGGGAAGCCTGCTTCTCCCTCTCCCAATCCCCCTGCTTGTGTTCCCTCTCTCGCTGTCAAATAAAATCTTTAAAAAAAGAAAAAATAAAATCAATAGGAAACTCCAAAGTGTCTCTAGGAAGATAGAGGCTATCTGGTAAAATCCAATTCTTCCTTAAAGAAAACACTTATCTTCTGTCATTAAATTTAATGGAAAATGTAACCTATTTTCTATGGCAATACAGATCTTGCTTATGCTAAAGATACTATTTTTACATTTAAAGAAAACCAAGGACAGCGAAGGAGACCATCAACAAATCTAAAAGGCAAACTACTGAATGCAAGAGGATATTTGCAAACGCTGTATACAACAAAGGGCTAGTACCCAAACTATATAAAGAACTGATACAACAACACAGAAAAAATATAATCCATTTAAAAATGGGCAGAAGGGGCGCCTGGGTGGCTCAGTTGGTTAAACCGCTGCCTTCGGCTCGGGTCATGATCCTGGGGTCCTGGGATCGAGCCCCACATCGGGCTTCCTGCTCATGCGGGAAGCCTGCTTCTCCCTCTGCCTGCCGCTCCCCCTGCTTGTGCTCTCTCCCTCTCTCTCTCTCTCTCGCTATCTCTCTCTGTGTGTCAAGTAAATAAATAAAAAAATCTTTAAAAAATAAAAAATAAAAATGGGCAGAAGACATGAATGGACATTTCTCCAGGGAAAACCTACAGATGGCCAACAGACACGTGAAAAGATGCTCAACATCACTCATCATCAGGGAAATGCAAATCAAAACTACGAGATATCACCTCACACCTGTCAGAATGGCTAAAATAAAAAACACAAACAAGTGGGGGCAAGGATGTGGAGAAAAAGGAGCACTCCTACACTGTTGGTGGGAATACAAACTGGTGT